TTATTTTTCTCAATACGTGTAGTTTGTGAAAAATTTTAATGCGCTGTAATGCCTTAGAAGGACTTTTGAAACTCTAACAATTATCTGGCGTTGAAAACTAAGGTGTTCATTTAACTGAATTCAGCTATGTTTTTATTATTAAAGTTGTTATTAAAGTTTCTGAAAATTAGCTGGAAACTAATACATTTTATAAGAGTTTTATTTTAAAATAGCTCGGCTCCTGGTTGATTGATTTTAATGAAATTTTCGCGCCTTATCTTAGATTTTGACCAAGAAACAATGTGCAAAATTTCATCATTCTTGATCTTACTGTCTTGGCGTACATTCTGAGACAGACAGAATGACAAACATTCAGGAATATATTATACATATATGTACACAAGGTGTTCTCCTTCCTCATAAAATCTGTCCATAATTAACTTTGTGAGCTTTCCTCCATCATACGAGCTCTCGTCATGCTGCTACATACCATACCCATTATGCATGAAACATTTCACCTTTGTTCCCGAAGAAAAAGCCGGGTAAAACGGGGTAATTTTTAAATTATGGACAGATTTTGTGAGGAAGGAGAACACCTTGTGTACATATATGTATAATATATTCCTGAATGTTTGTCATTCTGTCTGTCTCAGAATGTACGCCAAGACAGTAAGATCAAGAATGATGAAATTTTGCACATTGTTTCTTGGTCAAAATCTAAGATAAGGCGCGAAAATTTCATTAAAATCAATCAACCAGGAGCCGAGCTATTTTAAAATAAAACTCTTATAAAATGTATTAGTTTCCAGCTAATTTTCAGAAACTTTAATAACAACTTTAATAATAAAAACATGCACTGTAAAAAAAAAACGTACAGCACAAAACCAAAAGGGTATTTATTTATCGTTCCAAACCCGAAAAGGGTTTATTTAACACATGAAAAACTAAAAAGCGTTTTGTAACCACTACAAAACGCTTTGGTTTCGTACGAAACCGAATTTCTACATTTTTGTCATAATAATTCGGTATTGTAAAATACGGTTGGAGTTTTTAAATTAGCAGAAAATACCAATACAGTTTTTCGGTCTTCTGCCAAACCCTCTTCGGTTTATCTGTCCCTCGAAAAACCGAAGCTGATTTAGTACAAACCTCTTTTTTGCACCATTAAAAAACCCAACCGTTCTGCAGCAATACTGCTAAATCATTGCGTATTTCGCTTTTTCCAAATTACGCAATCGGTTTTGTATTCAATCAAGTTGAATTTTTATAATATCCATACATCGTTTTTGGAAGCGTGAAACCCATCGGTCTTCATCTTTATTTTGAAAGGATATAGTACGACACTAAATAGAGCTTTTCAACTGATATGTGAAACCGAATTGGTTCCATGCAATATCGTTATTCTTCAGCAGATTGAATCGTACTTCCTCATAGCACCTAACTTAGGCCAGACAAATGGATTTATTCTTTGAATGAATTTCTCAGTTAGATGGACTTCAAACTTGTTCTTAGAAACCAGCAGAGTTTGAACTAATACAATCAGAAACATTTCTCAAAGACATGTGCGTATAGAAAGAGATAGTTGAGATATCCCCTTGAAATAGTTGATTTCATTATGTTTTACCCGGCTTTCTCTTCGGGAACATAATGCAATCAAGGTGAATCATTCACCTCAGACTTGGTCCGATATTGAGCTTAAAATAAGTACACAGCAATTTTATTTGTAAACAGGTTCTCTATTTGTTACAGAAACTATGTGAACAGGTTTGTGAACTTTTAGAAAAATTTTCATTGTTATTTCTAAAACAGCTTTCACCTTATATTTCTGTAAGTTCTCCCATGTACTTCTCAATAATGGTTCGACATATAACTGATATTTGATCTCGAAATAAAAGTGGGAGCAATTGATGTTTTATTTGTTCACGTATGAATATTACCGATAAGGTAACGCTTGCCGTATGTGAAGAAAACATTCACGCTTGGACTTTCCGAGAATGTATACCCGAAGATATTATCGCTAGGATCAGTTCGTTATTAGAGCCAATCTAATATCCTGTGAAGGAGGCGGAATGGCTGAGCCCCAATCCTCTGTGCATCAAACAGGACCGAACTGATCTTTGCTACATCCTGAGAGTCACTAACAGCAAAACGGTCTTACACCGAGGGTACTCACAATTGTTGTAAAAGGCATCAATTTTTTATGCATTTCTCACTCTTGTGCATTTTTATTTCGAGACCTTTGCACAGTAAGCATCGATTCAGGAAAAAACAGAAATCTTTACCCATAGTACATTTTCTGAGAAACAAGACTCGTGTTTGATATACCCAACACGTGTGAAAAAAATTCCAACTGTGCAACAGTAGAATGAAAAGGACTTATATGTATGTCACTATTCTCTCACTCACTGCAACCACCGTATACGTACTACATAAATTAGTTAGTTTTTTGCATTGATTCCGTTTTTGCATTGATGATTATAAAGTGGTCTTCACTCCACTTTCAGAAATAAATGCTTTGCATAACAGATCCTTCTTTTTCGTCTCGCCCAAAATGATAAGAAAAACGTCGACTTCAACAACGTGTGCATATAAAAAAAAGATGGCGTCGACGATAGAAAAGAAGACGAATATATTTCACTGATATAGCCAATTCTTTTATTTTATCTTTCTGTCGTCGACGATAGAAAAGAAGACGAATATATTTCACTGATATAGCACTTTCTTTTATTTTATCTTTCTGTCGTCGCATCAATCTTTTTTTTTATATACACAAGTTGTACATATCGATGGTTTTCTTATCATTTTAGACAAGACGAAAAAGCAGTATACAAGGCACTTATTTCTGAAAGATCACTTTATATTCGAAGGTTTTGCAATTTATATCTCCTTTATTTTAATACTGAAAAAACTGAAATCAAAAATAATTTTTTTACCAGTTTCAACTAGCGTTTTTCGCATTGAAGGACGCATTTTTGAGACTCTGGTCTGAAACCTGAAGTGTAGTAAAAGTAAATTTCCTAAAAATTATGTGCGGAAAGCGAGTTTCCAGACGGTGATCTTCTGAGTAGAAAACGGGTTTTTGTGTTTTCAACCCCGAATATCGAATTTTATTAAGTCAGGCTTACCAGATCAAAGTTAGGAAATTGAATGTGACATATCTCTAGACTCAACTTTGGAAAATACTTGCTTCACAGTGAAATAGTAAAGATACTTCGCATAGGCGAAGTAAAGAATATATTCGTCTTTTTTTCTATCGTCGTCACCGTCTTTTTTTCCTCTTGTTATCTTTGCATACGAGGAGTCATTTTATTCAGTCACTCACGTCTATTTCGTATAACCCTATTACATCATTACATTGTATTTTTGCTTTTGTAACAGCCTTCGGGCTTAACAATATACAAATGACAAGTGAAAAAAGAAGAAGGAAAAACTTGGAGAAAAGGGAATGAGCTTATNGTGGAAAGTTTCTTTTTCCTGAGCGCGAACCGTCTAAAAGAATTGTGTTCAGCCGTATACGACGATCGGCATACACGATCGTATTTCCTTTGCTAATCGAGAAATCATGCTTATCTCAGCTGGGAACATTTTTCTAAGGTGGTGCCTATGAGAGAAAATGTAGAGAATGCAATTCTGCACAAGACTGAAAGTTCTTTGGACACAGTCAATTTACCCAAGAACGTTGCGTTTTCGAGATAAATCATCTTCAGATAACTACGATTTTCTGTTTAGCAAAGAAAGTTGAAGCTCTTTCTTGAATGAATTACACAAAACCCTGAAGCGTATTTCAAAATACTAAAATCAGTATTTCGGAGGGGTTTTGTATTTGCCACCACACGAAACCCAGTTTGGTTTTGCAGGGCGCAAAAACTCCTTCAACTACTGTTTGAAATACGGTCAGGCATATTTCGAAATACCATAGAAGGTTTTTGAAATTAAGTACAAAACCCACAGTCAATGCATAAGAAACCTCTATCCGTTTTGCATTTACCGTTAAAGCAGTGTTTTAAAAAACGGAAGGGGTTTTTGCACTCAGAATGCAAAACGGAAATGGGTTTGGTGTAGTTGCAAATGCAAAAAACCCTTTTCCGTTTTGTGCTCTACGTTTTTTTTTTACAGTGTATAAAGAGTAGTATAAAGAGTACAAAAGACCACATCGCGCTCAGCTTTAAATGACCCTTTAATCTCACAATTTAAGAGCCATTAGTTTATAGGGTCCAACAGACCGAGATACTCGGTACCACCGATCAGGCTGTAAGTTTTAACATATATAGAACCAATGTGAACTAGTTTACAGCTAAAACATGGCACTCTAAGGGTGTTTTCTTCCCAAGTTGAAGGTGTCGCTCTATAGAGATCGCGCTTTATGTAAAATCAATGAAGTCCACTTTTCTCCCGAATCATGTAATATTTTTCAATGAACGTTTCAGGGGAGATGTATCTTCATATGGACTATTTATCCTGAAACTTTTATCGAAAAACATTGAATCGTTCCGGAGAAATTCCGGTTTTTCATGCAAAATTTGTGACCCGCTTTCCTCCTTGGGCGAACGTGGTCTAGGTTCCCAGTACTCAGCGTAGATAGAGTATATAACTGTTATGAAGTTCAAACTGAAGATTAAAAAGAGGCTCGAGAAATTCAGTCTTATGTACAACAAAGGCCCTGAATGTGTAATCTACTAGTAAGAATCTTAAAAGAATTCGATAATTTTCATAGAAACAATAGCGTTTTGTTTTCATAGAAACGTTGTGCAACATTTCTAGGTTTTCTCCTGTCATTTCTGGATTTTTATAAAAATCCAGAGTTATGTTATCGTTCTCTTAGAATTGGTGAGAACGATCACATGAATTTTGGAGAAAACGATATGTTTCCTATCTTTTCACCATGACAAGATTGAATGTTCGAATATTTTGGAGAAACGCCTCACACACGAACAAATGGTTTAGAGATAGTCGTCTCAGAATAATATAAAAGTCTATTTGTCAGGTAATTGCTTAGAATGTCTGTCAGGATTAGATATATCTCTCAACAAGCACGAACTTTGGAAATTGGAGGGGTAGGGCTACATGTAGCTATTGGAAAAACAGCCTTTTGGATCCAACAGCTTTTATATTTAAGATATTCGAATTTTATTGTTTTTTTCTGAAGATTTTTACATATTCGAAATCAGCGTGACGACTTAAGTTATACGGCGCAACGATCTCGTTGGGGCATTTTCGTATTTTTAGGTCCTTGCGATCCCCATTTAGCTTCTCAATATTGCACATTGAATCGTTCCGGAGAAATTTCGGTTTTTCATGCAAAATTTGTGACCCGCTTTCCTCCTTGGGCGAGCGTGATCTAGGTTTCTAATATTCAGCGTAGATACAGTAAAACAAGCTCTGTCGAAAACTGATTCTAAACTTCCAGCCAAAGATCATTTCGGACATGTTTTACAGATTTTTCCGGAAAAAGCAGGAAGAAATCAGAATTCTGCCTGTAATTCTCAGTTTTCGTGATGAGAACTCATTTTTTTCGGTTTTCAGCAAACGAAAGACCACAGTTAACGTCATATTTACATCATTCTATGGAATTTTACATGCTCTGACTACGAATGTACGTATATATCGTGCGAATAAGAGTGTTTCAGGTCTGTGGTTTCAAACAAAAAGGATTCCTAAATTACGCATGATCTACGTTTCGTTTTCTTACTTCTGTGTCTTTCATCAAAAAGGTTGATAATTTCGAGAACAAGGCTAATCCTATCGATACTTTTCGTCAACCTCCATAAAGAAATGATTTTATTAATAAGAGAATTTTACTTTGGACTTGGAACTCTCTAATGTCATCTCTTTGTTCAGGTTTTTTGTAGACGTAGCTTGATCCTCTTCTCGTTGTTCCATCCTATTGTTAGAATATTGTTCGTCCACAAGCGTTTCGAGTTGAGGCTTGGGCTTAAGAGCGGAAGGTTTTTCAGCTTCACTGACGTCAGGAATCTCGTTCTTAACGAGTTCAATATGTTTATGTAATTGGTTGACTAGAGAATGTGTACTGTGCGGTAACAATACTTTTTCGGCAATAGATAACGCCTTCTGAAAATATTGTCTCGCTTGCTCATCGTTCCCCATTTGAAGGTGAACGAGGCCAATATTATCTAGACAACATATTTTATCTGGATGTTCTAATGGGAGCACTTTATCTTTCATATCCATAGCCTTTAAGTAATATACAAGACTTTTCGTGTAATTCTTTTTCTGATAGTGAATATTTCCAATATTAATTAAGACAGTTGCTCGATTCGGATGATCGATAGGGAGAAGTTTTTCATTGATCTGTTCAACTTTCTTGAAGTATCCTTTAGCAACATCAAGCTCCTGTAGAGAACAGTGAATACCAGCTAAATTATTAAGGATACCGGCATATTCTTCATCTTCTTTACCGTATTTCTTATACAATTTCAGTGACGACATTAATTTTTCAAGTGCCATTGTATAGTTACACTGTTGTCCGTAGACAAGCCCTATTCCGTTAAGTACGCGTGCAGCACTTAGGAAACGTTGTGGACGAATATTAATGTGCAGTTTGTAGGCACGTTCATAATACTCAATTGATTTATCGTAATGGCCATCTAAACGATATGCTCGTGCGAGGCTACTACAGATGCAAGCAACTTTTTCATCATTTGGTTTTTTTACGAGAAGCCGTTCAAAATATCGCTTAGACTTGTCATTTTGACCCATGTCGATCAGAAGACAACCAATGATTAATGAGAGATCAGCCTGGTAAACACGTTTCTTCTGATAATCAATATACTCTCTTGCGAGTTCTGAGCCTTTGTCGGTTGCTTTCATTTTAAAGATCAACATTTTTGATGTGTTTGAATCATCGTCAAACTGTTCTTCGTAACTGATGATTTCGAAGACTGCGCCTGAATTATAAAAGAAAATAAACATTCAGAGCAAAGTAGACAGTAAACAGCATACACACCTATGTCAAACAGTACTTCTTCCTCGTCATCGAAGGTGCTCATATGGGCGATATCGGCACAAATTACATTTTTGAGTCTCATATCCATCTCGATCTCCATCATAACTTTGTTTGCAAACATGACTGCCACCTGACGTAATCTGCTCGTCGATAAATAGCCGTTCGTTGATATTAGCTGTCCGACACTTCTTTTGAGACTGTCAACTTCGTGTTCCGGTAAATTTAGACCACGATATACGGTGAATGTTGACGGTACTAATGCTTCAGATCTCTTCATTTCCTGAAACTTTTGTTGCAAACTTCGGCTTAGATCTGTAATATAGAACTGAAATGTTAATAGCGTATCGATATCTTCAGTACGTAAAGCTTTGTTGATCAGACGATAAATAAATGAGTTTTTGGTATACCAGAGAATAGCATCCGTCTGTTGATAGGTCTGTTCAAAGACGTCAACAGCCTCTAACTGCTTTCTGTTATTCTGGTAATAGATTCGACATTTTGCGAGCATCTCTTGCTTTGATTCTTCACTGCTCTTCGTCTGTGTCATTGTAATGTATTGAAATAGTTGAAAGAAAATGAACGAACCTGATTCTTTGCTCAAATCATGTGCGGTTTTCTGTTTTCTATCATCATAGAAGCTGAACATTGCAATTTGTCTTCTGTACAGTTCGATCTTCTTCTGTAGAGCTACAATTAGGTCTGATCGTGTTTCATACTTGCCGACTATTTTTGAATATTTTTCGATTAACTCAGAAGTGAACGGTTCTTGATCTTCGATTTGATCAGAATATAGGAAGATACAGGAAATTTTGTTCAGACTGTGTATGGCGCTTAATAAATCGTCGGTATTAGTTGTCGGGACAAGAGTTAGAAAGACATGTTCATCTTGAATTGACTGAATGTAAGCTAAGAATTCGTCTTTGTTATTGAAGAATGCAACATAGTCATTAATTTGTCGAAGTGTTTGTTGACGGAATAGTTTATTATCATCTGACTCGGTGTTGTCACGGTCATCGAACCACACTACGGATATGTCTTCTTCATTTTTACGAGGTCGTTGTTCTTTCAAGGCCCATACATTGGTGCTTGGTTGTCCTGATGTGGATGTAGAATGTTTATTGCCCATTTGACCGTTTTAGGACAAAAATTTAATTTAGGTTATCCTAAAGGATGAAAATACAATCAAATGTATTCGTCTTCAGATTTATTGATGGCTCAGAAAAGTGGAAAAAAGGTCATACGTGTTCGTAAACAATGAAGATGAGTTATTCTTATCACATTAAAAAGGTTGCAGGGAAGCTGCACAAGGAAGAAGAGGAACATCCCGGGTGAGAAATGCGAGATCAGTAACCTTGGACCACAGAAAACTTCTTCATCCGTTTTTTAACTATACGTTAATGAGTATGCCAGAGTTCTGACTGTTCTATGTAATCTATGCTGAATAAATGAGGCCAAAAAAATTACGTTCGTACAACTAAGTGATGCGAATAATTTGATTATTCACTCTTGTAGCTCTCATGCACTTCCTTTTGTTATTTTCAATTAATGTCGGAATGTTATTTTCATTCCGATATTAATTGAAAATATTTTAATCGAATTCCGTGTCATGATAAGCAGAAGTGGAATGAATAAATAGATTATTAGAAAGAACGCAAAATAATATTTATCGTGGCCACACATTCAAGAATAATAATTTATAAGTACTTAAAAAAGGAACAAATTTAAAGAAACCATAGGGTGAGATCGATTGAGTTAGGTTGTGTTTGCGTATAAAAAAAAAATAGCATTGGAAAAAACCAACTTATAAAAAACGCAACTAAGAACACTTTATTATTTTATCTCTATACATCGCAATAAGTACATCTAAAAATCAGAGAGTATGGACAAGCATAAAAGCACAGAAAGTTTAGACGAAGAAGGAATGGAAGAATAAACTGCATTTATCTCTCATTCTACAACTACAACAACGCCGCACAATGAATTTATCGAAGCTGAACATAACTCGTACGAAGAAGTCGATGGAATTGTATCAAATGAAGGTGATCAGGAAATGCCATGTTCCACATTTAGAACATGATTCATCGAGATAACTCCCGATATTTTGATATCCACTGCAAATACTTATTATTGTCATCCAAGACGGTTCATTTTCACCTATTTCTCTTGTTATTCTTTGTCGATAAACAGTTTGCGCTTATACTTCCAAAGAGAACGTTTCGAATGTGGCCCTTCTGCAGTTATCGTTTCTCCTTAAATTCTGGTTCGTTTACAATTTTAAAGAACATGTTCTGCTAATTACAATGGTTATATATTTTTTTCTCCCGGAAGACCACTTAAAAATTAAGTTTTTTATATCACCATGTAGAATGAAAAACTCTAGAGTTTTTCAAACTCATATTCCAGAAACGAGTTTTAGACCTGACCATACGTTGAGATAACAGAGATAACAGCTGTGATGAAGGCAAGAAAAAAAAAAAAGAGTTCATTCTTTTCCGAAAGAATGAATTAACATATGGTTAGATCTATAACTCGTTTCTGGAATGTGATTTTGAAAAAATCGTCTCAAAAACATCCAGAACTTTTTGCTCTACACGGTGATAACAAAACCTTAATCATTACGTGGTCTTCCAGGAGAAAAAAAATAAATACTACACTTGACCATTTTTCTAATGAGCATAAAATGGCCTTAACTAACAGTTTTCTTCACTTATTTTAGATATAAGTTACACCATTGGATTCAGCGTGAAAAGCTGAATCTTTCTATGTATTTTGTTGTCGCTTTCAACGAAGGTGAAGCTAGGCAAAAGGTCTTTTCTGTAGTTTTCAAGTGTTCTTCGGAAAAACTTTGTTTTAGGGGTCAAAGTTTTGGATTTTTGGAAATCTCTTTTTTTCCTTCAGATAGTTGATAATCTTTTCTTTCTAAATCTTTTTTGAATTTTCTGTTAGCTCGAAAAATGACGGAGTTATAAGCAAAAGAAGAAAGTTGTGCTAATGCGCAAAATTATGATAGATTTTGAAAAGACCTCTAGAAAAAAGTAAGGGCTTTTGGTACAAGGCTCATTTTCACAGGATATACGCGGAAGAATGTAAGGTATCTTTTAAAGAGAATCCGATCTTGCTAGTATCTTTGGAAGCTGAGAAACCTCGAAACTAAAATCTGTTTCATCGTCGTGCCATTAATTTTTTTACTGATTGCAAAGAAACTCCCGATTGACTGTACGCTATATTATTTATTCTCCCTCTTATTCTTGCCATGATTGCTTCTCAATTTTCTAAACTAATGCCCTGGTACTATTTTTTCTTGCTGTATCAGCTGGACTCTCATTTTTGTTGCCTCTCGGTCTTCTTTATGGGAATACGGCTTTGGATTTCAGTTTGTTCGTTGGACCTGCTTTTCATCTTTTCGGCGCGCTTCTCTTTCCTAACAGATCGATTGAAACAATTACATTTAGTACGTAGCTTACCACAACAGTAATGGCGACTTATGGCTTCGTTCTGGGAATGAAGATTAGCCATCATATGAAGATTCCTCCAAGAATTATATCTACTGCCATTATACTCTGCACTTTGATATCCTCTATCACCTAGCATTTCCGATACGAAAACAATTGCGACCTAAGCTGTACTATGACCGAGCGAAACCTGAGCAATTATACACAGACTATGCATCAGTTTTTTCCAGTAATGCAGTATTCTATTCACTAATTGGTAAGTGTAATTCGAGTAGTTTTAAATTTTCCTGCACGGAAAAATTCTTCCTGAGGAAATGAAATGGTCAACGCAACATTGTAGTTTCTTCGAAAAGACACTTTCTGATCTTGTTGAGTTACGTCTACAGCCCTTCAGATTGAAACGTGAAATAATTTTTGCGAAAATTCCCTCGAATGATAAAAGCCGCTGTATTCTGACTAAGAAATTCCAGAACAAAAACAAACCTTGAAATATACACAACAGAATGTTTTTCTTATTTTCAGCATTAAGTGAAAGTGATTTCTATGAATGTCACAATGGTGAGGAAATGGCAATTCCTATCAAAACAGTTGTTTAAGCAAAACATATGAAACGTTTTTTATAATTCAGTGGATCTTCGCACTTTTATAGATATTTTTCCGAAAACTAGAGCATCGTTTTATAATGCTTTTAAAGCTTCTCTGGATCGTTCGCTCTTATTGTACAAAGAATATTTCAAACATCTTTCTTCAAAACTCTACATCGCCTTAAGAGACTCGCAGATCCGCTTTCCGTCTCTTACTTTTATAGATTCGAATGAAATCATTCCACCTAGAACATAACCACGCGCACCATTTGGCGTTAAAAAATATCTTGAATGAAAGGAAAGAGTGTCAGCCTAGAGGAAGAGGAAGAATGATTGATCTTCCCAAGTATGCCTTCACTTTGAATAGAAAGCTTATCAGCGTAGACCACTGTGAGATCTGAAAAATGAAACTCTTCTCCTTGAACAACTTTTACTTGATTATGTATTGCGAAAACTAGTAAATGCTGAATAAATAACGATTTGATAGTTCAGTCATATTGGACAAGTCACGGCTACAAAACATGCCCCTCTCATGCTGGAGGACTAACATGATCAGAACTATGATAAGATCGTTTAGTTCACACAGGCTAATATAAGTCACGTCATATGACAAACTTCGTTCAAGCATGTGGTTCGAAAAATCTGTAAGACAACGTCGAACACCTAAACGTAAAAAGTTTCTAAGCCCTTCGAAAAGCTCTAAAATGTCACTATATAGGAAAAAAACATCGACTAAAGAAGAAAAAATCACTTGTCTGATATGAGACAAATACTACAAATTATGAACTTATACTCCTCTTTTTCCCAGTCATTAGAAGAGTTTACGAAAGATTCGTTTAAACTTTGTCTTTAGGACACGCTTCATATCGAAAGTGTACTTGTCCTCACTTCTTTTTAAATAAACTAGGTTTAAGAAATGTTTTGAGCTGAATGACAGACTCAAGAAAAGAATGTTTTTATAAGTAAATGATGCAAATAATTCGATTTTTCACTTCTGTTAATTTTTTTCAGCACTTCTTCTACTACTCATTTCTATTACATCAAAATTATAATAGCTCTGTATCATAAAGATTACAGAGGTAAGAAAGAAAGTACAACGCAAACAAATATGTATAATA